CTCTTTAACCCGAGTGCCTTTTGCGTGACACACACATTCTATAAATATGACTTTCTAGGCAAGGGATATCTGGATGGTTCTTTAAAACAAAATATATTAAAAAATGCGAGTCTGCAGTTGAAACGGAGACCGGCCAAGTGTGTGATTGCAGTTGAAAGGATTTACTCGAAATAGTCCGGGCCATGGCGCCCGACTGGGATTGCTCAGAGAAGATCCCTTGGATGGTCGAGACCAAAAAGACGTCATGGAAGAGCAACGTTAGGAACAACCCCCCCCCCCAATTTATTCTATTTGATTCGTGCTCAGAAATTGGCCTTCGAGGATTTGGAAAGTTTGGCCGAGTTCGATGGATTTATACTGTTTTAGAAAGCAATCTGTGTCAGGGAGAATTTGCAGGATGAAACTTGACGGGCGCTGGATGGACAAATGGAAGCGCTCCTTCGCTCAAAGTGTAGTTAACCCAACTTGTGACGGCCACTAGTTGACTTGGCTTTTAGACACTTGCATGGCAGATAGCTTGTTGTGTGTAAAGTGCCGTCACCTGACAGCCAACTTCTGGCGACCTCAGCCAAGGGGCTTTTATGGCAAGTGAGAAGCAGAGGAGGTTGGACATGACCTTCCTCTGCAGAGCCTTCCTTGGTGGTTTCACATTCAAGTACCAACCCTGCTTAGCTTCCAACTTATGGTGACCCCAGTAAGGGGGTTTTGAGGCAAGCGAGAAGCAGAGGTGGTTCGCTAAAATCCTTCCTCTGCAGATCCCTCCTTGGTGGTCTCCCTTCCAAGTACTGACCCTGGTTAGCTTCCAACTTATGGTGACCCCAGCAAGGAGCTTTCAAGGCAAGCAAGAAGCAGAGGTGGTTTGCCATTGCTTTCCTCTGCAGAGCCTTCCTTGGTGGTCTCCCTTCCAAATACCGACCCTGGTTAGCTTCCAACTGATGGTGACCCCAGCAAGGGACTTTCAAGGCAAGCAAGAAGCAGGGGTGGTTGTCCATTGCTTTCCTCTGCAGAGCCTTCCTTGGTGGTCTCCCTTCCAAGTACTGACCCTGCTTAGTTTCCAAGTTATGGCGACCCCAGCAAGGGGCTTTCAAGGCAAGTGAAAAGCAGAGGTGTAATAGCAGGAGTTCTCTAGAAGACTGGTGTGGACCATTGAGGGAGGGCTGGTAGGGAGCTCTCTTGTGTTTTCAAAACTCTTGAGAATCCATTTGGAAAGACCCGAAGCTTTTTTTGGAGAGTTGTCCGAGAAACAGAGAGTGATGAAAATGTGCTGGTAATTACGAATGAAGATTTCACTCGTATGTATGTGATTCACGAATGAAGATCTCACTCGTATGTGTGTAATTCATAAATTATCAGCAATCTCCGCGATGCCATCAGCATGTCGTAGAGAAAGGAGACTGGGATATCGGTTTGGGGCCCATTCAATTGCAGGAGTGTTCATTACATTCATGAGGTATGGGAAGGTCAGGAGAAACTATTGCCATTGTAAGAAGAAGCCGAAAGGTACACAGTAACGGCCCAATCCTAAAAACAGTCTAACCCCTCTATATGCATCGAAGTCAATGGGCTTAGTTGGGCTTAATTCTGTTTAGGATTGCACTGTTAGCAGAGCCAGCGGATATGTAACATTAGAGCCCGTTGACATAGCAGTAAAATAAAGAATCTGTTATTTCTTTCTCTGCTCGTAAACATGCCCCCAAATTATTTATTTGGACTGCATTAGTGCTGGTAGAGTACTTCTTTCCCTCCACGGTGGGAATACATTTCCTAGGACTTCGTAAAACAATATTTTGTCATCTCCCGAGACAATCTTAATTGAATGGAAATGTCTTACCATTCTTTTCAACTGGCCGGTAAAACAAATGGTTCCCCTCGTTTTTAGAGATAGCGAGAAACCCCCGTAATTGTTTCCAGGAAAAACATGCACTCCCAAGGGTGCTTTCTTGGTAGCATCTGGAAGGGTCAGATTAACCACTTTCCCGAATTTTCCATTATTCTTGTTCGGGTTTGGTTGATATCCAGCAACGAGAGAGGAATGATAACACGTGTATGATTGTGTGATGATTATACCTCCCTGTACTCAGCATCGTTGTTTGGAGTTGTGATAGCTCTAGAACAATGGAGGGGAGATTGCAAATACACCTGCTTCATTTTAGGGTTTGAGCCACGGCTCAGTGGAAGAGCCTCTGTTTCCCACGCGGAAGGCCCCGGGTTCAATCCTCAGCATTATCCAGTTCTGTTGTTCCCGGCAGCCGTAACTCACTCTAAGAACAACTAAGTCATCAGCGCACAATCACCATTTGAAGAATCGACTTTTATTTCACTCTCAAACATCAAAGGGTTTGGCTTTTCTTACACTCCCTTTTTCTGTAGCTGTTAACAGCCTCTAAAGTCCTGAATTTATTGAGTGGTTCATGTGGTAAGAAGGAGTCGGATCTCTCCTGTCTGCTGCTAGCTGAGAGGGTTACAAAATCACTGGGTGGGCAATAAACAACTTTCCCCGGGCAAATGTATCAAAGGCAAAGGGAGGCTGTATAGAACCCATCAAGAGAGCTAGGTACCTCTAACCAGCTGACCTTAGGGTTGCTAAACTACGTTTCCCACAATCCTTTGTGTATTTAAAGATGCAGTAAACTATTCACGATACTTTACTATTCTGATCTCCGCCGGGGCAGCACACCAGTTGAAAGTATCAGGTGGTCGGTGGTATGAAGAACCTCAGCCTGAGATCCGGGAGGGCCACTGTGAACCTGAGTAGACAATACAGACCTTGATGGACCAGTGGTCTGGTTCAGTATAAACCCAGCTTCAGAGGGTCATGTATTATAGGGGAGGGCTGCCCTGATCCGGATATCCCAGGCTAGCCTGAACTCATCAGATCTCGGAAGCTAAGCAGGGTTGGGGTTGGGTCGTATTTGGAAGGGCGACTTCCAAGGAATACCAGGGTCTTGATGCAGAGGCAGGCAATGGCAAACTCGTATTTGGAAGGGCGACTTCCAAGGAATACCAGGGTCTTGATGCAGAGGCAGGCAATGCCAAACCACCTCTGAAATGTCTCAAAAACAAGTCTAGCTCACCACCTAGTGGTGCATAATGCTAAAGATCTTGAAGTTCTGGTCGCCAGACAATATTAGGATCTCCTGGCTATACTACACACAATGCCATATGATAATAATAATAGAAGAAGAAGAAGAAGAAGAGTTGGATTTATACCCTGCCCTTCACACGGAGTCTCAGGCTGTGGTTACACACACTAAATAATACACTGTCAATCCACTTTCAACGCACTTTCCAACTGGATTTATACCAGTTCACACAGTAAAAAATCCAGTTTGAAAGTGGATTGTAAGTGGATTATTTAGTGTGTGTGACCGCAGCCTCAGAGTGGCTCACAAACTCCTTTCCCTTCCCCTCCCCACAACAAACAGCCTGTGAGGTTGATGGGGCTGAGGGAGCTCTGAGAGAACTGCTCTGGAGAGAACTGTGACTGACCCAAGGTCACCCAGTTGGCTGCATGTGGAGGACGAGTGGGGAATCAAGCCCAGTTCTCCCAGATTAGAGTCTGCCGCTCTTAACCACTACACCAAACTGGTCAGGGCCATGCTACCTACACTCTTTTAGCTGAAGATGTCAGGAAACAAACCTGGGCCTTCATGCACGAAAAAGGATCCACTCTACCACCGCCCGCCGCTCTCCTCCATCCATTCGTACTGTCTGATTGCAGCGTGTCATGAAATTCTGCTCTGGAGACCTGTCGGTTTGAGCAGCTAGTTGGCCGAACGCCAGGAAAATGGCGTCACTCCCTCGGACGCTCGAGCGTGTCAGACCAGTCATATACTTGCAGATTTGCACAGCTGCTCCAACACGACCCTGAGATGATGCACTTCAGCAATAGGGTCACTTTGTTACCCGAACCGTACCCCAAGGCAATTACAGCATTGACTAAGCCCTTGGAGCCATCTCTGGCAAAAACACACAATTTTTTTTTTACTTAGTCAGTCCGGCCTTACTGGATCCCCCCCAGGGCAGGCACGGCTCAGTGGTTTAAAAGCTAATTAAATCAATATTTTTGGAAACAAGACACAAGCGTGGAAAGGGAGAGAAATGCGAACTGGTGTATCCTTTGCGCCAAATGGAAACTTCTTAATGGCCAGTGGTTAAAAGTTTATCTCGAAGGCCTCGCTCAAATATCGCTGCAAAGTGTTACCTGATGCGCAGGCGGGGTCAGGCACAGATTGAGTCCCAAAGGAGCTCATTACGACCTCTCTCTATGGCTCTTTGGTTGTGACTTATTCAGCAAAAAAATTATGTTCAGGATGTATTGGGCGCCACAGCAACTCTTTAGTAATGTGCCCAATTGTGGGCATTCTAACTCACAGGACACAGCCCTTGAACGTATGCTTTGGGCATATTCAGACCGATTTCACACAAGAGCTGTGCTGCGGTCGTGCCTCCCTTTGCCCTGCTTCTATTGGTCAATTTCCCACTCGAAGCCACCTGGTTGCATTTTGACCTGCAGCTCTGCCTGATTTTCCCCGCGGTTTCGTGATCTTCAAAAAACAGGATCACGAAACCGTGGGGAAAATTGGGCGAAGCCGCGGGTCAAAATGCGGCCGCGCGGCTTCCAGTGGGAAACTGACCAATAGAAGCGGGGCAAAGGGAGGCGCAACCGCGGCACAGCTCTTGTGTGAAATTGGTCCCAGTCATTCATTTTTTTGGGGAGGAAGTGATTACTCAGTTTGATTTTATATTAGAAAGGATCATTGATTTTTGAGGATGTGTTTTTAAACAGGACTCCTTTGGGTAGTGAAGGGTGGGGTATAAATCCAGTCCCATTTTCTTCTCTTCTTCTTTTTCCCTGGAAAACCCTCTAAGGGTTTCCATAAGTTGACTGTGACTTGACAGCACTTTCCACCACCCCTTTAGGACCAAGGATGCATGAATTTATATAAAACTGGGCAATATGTAGTTCTATAACAATATTTCTGTGATTTATTTGATAGCCGTGTCCTGAAAACAGAAGCATCAGGGAGGTCCAATGCGCATCGTACAACAACAAGCCTTTCATGGGTCGATTCTATGAATGGGAGCCTTTTGCAGAAGGTAAGGGAAGACAATTTGCTCTTGTGTGTTTTTTTGCGTAACGGGTTACGGAAAGACCGTTGCTTCCTTCTTCGGGGAGACATCAGCAGAGTTTTCCTGTTCTGTGGCACTGTTCATTTGCTTGTTGGGCCTTTGGAGGGCACATGCGTTTAAGAAGTTGGTGATAGCTTGTGAATACTAGTACTCGGTGGTGAAAACGGGGGGAGGGGGAGTTTGGCCTGTGTACCTTGCTCGCCGGCCATCAGAAGGTGTCTGGTTGTGTGTGTTGTGTGAAACGTGATGTGGATTGGAACCGGTTGGCCCGTTGGTCTGATCTACATCTGAGCTGAACAGAGCTGCTGTCAGTTCTAGCCCCGTGCTGGTGTGAGCTACCAGCCTTGTCCCCAGCTCGCCGTCCACCCAGCGGTTCGAAAGCTTCGGCGAGTAGATAAAATGGGTACCACTCCTTAGAGAGGGTGGACACACTAAACCCCCCCAGTGGGGGAGGTGTTAGTCGGCGAATGGAATGTCCAGCGCGTAAGACTGAAAAGCCTAGAAAGAACTCTTCGGCATTAAGAAAGCCTGTAATGGGCCGTCCAGCCAGGCAGTGGCAGTGCTGCACTGCAACTTGAAGCAGTCCGGAGAAAGCCGACGACATCAAGCCACGCCGAGGGAAAAAATGCCGTTGGAACACATCTGACCTTACAGCTGAACAAAACTCCCAGTCGGCTGCGAACGTGTGTGATTTAAAGCTCTGTTACGAGTACAGCCTATCATGATCCGCGGCAAAGACAAGAGAGGAAAATCGAGGGCCCAATATAGCTCGCCTCTTAAGTAATGTTTCAAGGGCCAAGGTAAGGATCGAGGAAGAAGTAGAAGAGGAGGAGGAGGAGGAGGAGATTGGATTTAGAGACGAACAAGATATTCAGGGTATAAAGTTTCGAAATACAAAGCCCATTTGTCAGATACAAGTAGTAATGGAAGAAGAAGAAGAGGAGGAGGATATTATTATTATTATTATTATTATTATTATTATTATTATTATTATTATTATTATTATTATTATTATTATTATTATTATTAATATTTATTTATTTATTTATTTATTTAACGTGGCTTCTCATCCAACGAAGCCGATAGGCAGTAGATTCAGGATGGACACAAGGAAATACTTCTTCGGACAATGAGTGGTTAATAGGCAGAATTGTTTGTCAGATGATGTTGTGATTGCCTCGGGGGATTAGATGAATTCATGGAGGACAGGCCTACCAGTGGCTGCAAGCCTTGGTGAATAAGGGAACCTCCATGTGCAGGGGCAGTGAACCTCTAAATCCCGATGCTGGGAGGCAACGTCACCAAGTAGCTCACAAAGTAGAATTTTTGCTCACAAGACTCCACAACTTAGAGGGAGCGTTGCCTAGTAGCCCCCTCAACAGGTTAATGGACCATGATTTTCTTTTAGCTTGCTAAAGTCCAGCCCAAAGTCCACTGCTTGTACAACCGGTGCTCTTTTTTTGCCATTCAAAGTGGGAAATCGATGAATTCAAGGTGACCAATGCTTTGAAACCCTCGCGGTGGACTGATTTTGCCAAGGAACAGATTTAATTTAAAAGTATGACATCGGTGTTGATTGTTTTTCTTTTTATTCCTCCCAATGAGTTGGCAGGGAATTAGTGTGCATTCTGAAGCTCTTTCGGCAAGAGGTTGTTACAGGTTTCCCCCAAGGGTGCGTAAAAACACTAGTGCGGGTGAACAGTTAAGACTCTGCTGACAAGGAACACAAATCAACTGGCAAAAGGCAGGGAGCGATTTCTCCGCTCGCTAGCGAGTGGCGTCGATCTTCAGAGGCCCTCCTTCACCTGTGCTTGGAAGGAAGGAGAGGAAGACCTCATGAGCTGTGGACTTCCCAAACAAATCTTTAGTGCGTTTTTTCGTCACTTGATCTATTGTCTTTTGTGTACTAAGGATCGCTCTCCTACCGCGAAGGCCACACATTTCCCCAGCTCTGTTACGAGTACAGCCTATCATGATCCGCGGCAAAGACAAGAGAGGAAAATCGAGGGCCCAATATAGCTCGCCTCTTAAGTAATGTTTCAAGGGCCAAGGTAAGGATCGAGGAAGAAGAAGAAGAGGAGGAGGAGGAGGTTGGATTTAGAGACCAACAAGATATTCAGGGTATAAAGTTTCGAAATACAAAGCCCATTTGTCAGATACAAGTAGTAATGGAAGAAGAAGAAGAGGAGGAGGATATTATTATTATTATTATTATTATTATTATTATTATTATTATTATTATTATTATTATTATTATTATTATTATTATTATTATTATTAT